GTTGTAGATGTTTCTGCTTCAGTAGTGGTGGATATTTCAGCTGTTGTTGTGGAGGATGGTTCAGTTGTTGTTGTTGAGGGCTCTGTTATAGTAGTAGATGTTTCTTCTATTGTAGTAGTAGACGTTTCTTCAAGAGTTGTTGTGGAGTATTCTGCTGCTGTAGTAGATGTAACTGCTATGGTAGTAGAAGACGTTTCTTCAGGAGTTATTGTATAGGGCTCTGTTGTTGTAGATGTTTCTGCTTCAGTAGTAGTGGATATTTCAGAAGGAGTTGTTGTTGGTGTTGAGTGTTCAGTTGTAGATGTTTCTTCAAGAGTTGTTGTCGAGGGCTCTGTTGTTGTAGTAGATGTTACTTCTATGGTAGTAGTAGACTTTTCCAAAGGAGTTGTTGTTGATGGCTCTGTTGTTGTAGATGTTAACTCTACTGTAGAAGTGGATGTTTCTTCAAGTGTTGTAGTGGAGAACTCTGGCGTAGTAGATGTTACAAGTGAAGTTGTGGATGTTGTTGAGGGCTCTGTTATAGAAGAAGATGTTAATTCTACTGTAGTAGTGGATGTTTCTCCAAGAGTTGTTGTGGAGGACTCTGTTGGTGTAGTAGATGTTACTTCTATGGTAGTAGAAGACGTTTCTACAGGAGTTGTTGTAGAGGGCTTTGTTGTTGTAGATGTTTCTGCTTCAGTAGTGGTGGATGTTTCTTCAAGAGTTGTTGTGGAGGACTCTGCTGCTGTAGATGTTACTTCTATGGTAGTAGTAGACTTCTCCAAAGGAGTGGTTGTGGAGGGCTCTGTTGTTGTAGATGTTAACTCTAATGTAGTAGTGGTTGTTTCTTCAAGAGTTGTCGTGGAGGACTCTGTTGGTGTAGTAGAGGTTACTTCTATGGTAGTAGAAGACGTTTCTTCAGGAGTTGATGTGGAGGGCTCTGCTGTTGTAGATGTTTCTACTGTAGTTGTGGTGGATGTTTGAGCAGGCATTGTTGTGGCTGTTGAGTATTCAGTCGTGGATGTTTCCTCTAGAGTTGTTGTGAAGGACTCTGTTGGTGTAGAGGTTACTTCTTTGGTAGTAGCAAACGTCTCTTCAGAAGTTGTTGTGGAGGGCTCTGTTGTTGTAGATGTTAACTCTAATGTAGTAGTGGATGTTTCTTCAAGAGTTGTTGTGAAGGGTTCTGTTGTAGATGTTTCTGCTGCAGTAGTGGTGAATGTTTGAGCAGGTGTTGTTGTGGGTGTTGAGTATTCAGTTGTTGGCTCAGTAATGGATGATATTTCTGATAGACAAAAAATGATATTGAGTTGTTATGAATTTAGGATGGCATTGACAAAAAAATAAGCAAATTTTCTGAAATACTAATTTCAGTTTTATTAGTCAGTTCATTCCTTCATACTGGTTTCCATCTAAGACATGTAATTTTTTTCACATTGAAATAAGACTTACGTGTTCCATTAATGTCAACTGAATTAGCAGTGGCGTTTAGGTCATTTAGAAATTGTGTGTTGTTCAATATTG